ACTGAACATATTGAATCAATCAATGCAATTATTGATTGCTTGCTATTAGAAGAACATATGTAAAATGAGTAAACTCAGAATACTTTCAACAGCTAACTTGAATGAAAGTCCAGCACTTTGGGAGGCCGAGGCGGGTGGATCACGAGGTCAAGAGATTGAGACCATCGTGGCCAACATGGTGAAACCCCGTCTCTACTAAAAATACAAAAAATTAGCTGGGCATGGTGGTACGTGCCTGTAATCCCAGCTACTCAGGAGGCTGAAGCAGGAGAACCCAGGAGGTGGAGGTTGCAGTGAGCCGAGATCGCACCATTGCACTCCAGCCTGGGTAACGAGCGAAACTCTCTCTCAAAAAAAAAAAAGAATAAAAGTAACATGTTCAATCTCTCGGTAACATTTTCTTTAGTGCATCTTCTACTCTTTCCTGGCATATGGAGCAAGTTAATTAAATCTAATAGGAGTTTTTCTGCTCACCAAATAGCTATAATTCATTTTCTCCTCCCATTCAGAGGGACAGAATCTCTTTAAAAGCTAGTAAAGAGAAGCTGGGACAACTGAATGAATGATTCTGTGAACGTAGTAAACCTGAATTCACACTTCATTTTACTTGGTGTTGACTCTAGATCTAGTTCTCCGGACATCTTTCTTAGTTTCCCTTATCTATGAGCCTTAAGTTTGGAGAGAATCAAATCCTTTCCATATTTGGTTTTGAAATAACATTTTTGTTTGATTAAATCCAGTTCCCATCATGGAGCTGTTTTCAGCTACATCTTCCTCATTGCATTTGTAGCTTTTGATAGAGTTGCTGAGGTTTGTAGCCTCTGGCTATACCATGTTGATTTCTCATTTGTTACCTGCAATAATTGTGACTAAGTTAAAAAGTTCCCCTCCAAGAAAACCTAATCCTACACTGTTTGCCATTGTGACACACCTCCAGAAAATAAAAATAAAATGTATGCAGTTACAAATAGATTGCTTGCAATCCTGTCCTAGTTTTTGTTCACCTTCCTCCTTTATTTACATTAATAAGTGTAGCCCTAAGTTCTCCTTCACAAAAGTCATAAGCACCCTACAACTTTAGACATCAGCTTTACAGTTCACTCCCAAGTGTTTGCCAAGTAAAACTCATCCCTTACCCTCGTATTTCCCAATAATTATTAAATTTCTTGAGAGATGTAGCAGATAATTTCAAATGCTTAGACCTGAATTCTACAAATTCCCTTTAAAACTATCTCAATTATTCTGCATTTTCTATTATATAGTTAGAAAGAAGAGAAAAAGAGAAGAAATGAATAAGAAGAAAGGCAATATGAATAGGAAAAATGCTGAGACAGAATCGTAGGTAGCACCAAAATTTTATAGAAAATTCAGGAAACAACACTTTTATGAAATAATTTGGTAACTGATAGATTCGTAGGAGAATTATTGAGTGGCATCATGGAAGCCAGAAGTGAGAGTTACTTAATTTTAGTCTATATCTACACAAATGGTGGTGGGAGAGTTTTTAGAAAAACCTTGTCCAATTTTAAATCAGACAATCCAGGTAGACTTGTATAAAAAGAAGTGAAATCTTTTTGTACCTCGAACTGTTTTTATTCATTATAGTTGATGAGATGAATTACAATGACAGCCAAAACGCTTGTTTTCTCTTATAGTCAGGACCAGTAGCCAAAGGAGTAAAGTACTGTCTGTGCTTAACAAAGAGCTATCAAATTATCATACAGCATTACTCTATTAGGGCTAATACACAAGAGTGAAACACTTTTCTGCTCTGAAATATTTTAGTCACCTTGTTGCATCATTTGATGCCTCAGCCATTGACTACTACTGTCATTTTAAAAAGTAAAATTGGGGAGGCATTTGCATCACTTTTTTTTTCCTCTGCCCAACTTTCCTCATACTGTCTTATTCTTCCTGAATAGGATGTTCAGTTAGGGAACAGTGGGAATTAAAGATCACTTGAGCTTTCAATATTCTTTAGTACTTGGGGCACTAGCAAGATTTCTGGGGATGGAGAGTTCTGATAATAAACAATCACAATATGATTACAAAGAAAAGCTTAAGATTTAAGTGAAGCACTGCAAAACAACTAGAAATAACCTTTTTGTGTATACTGTTCATTTACAGCTTCATCTGTGTAGTGTCAGGGACAAACTAAGGTCCCAGCTGCCTTTATTCATTTAATAAATTGTGATAATTAATAGCTATTATTCATGCATTTCAGCCTTTTCACATTTAATAACAGTTCATTCCAATCAAAAATATGAAAACATGATCAGAGTGGAGTGTGCGTGGGTGTCACAATGCAAATAGTAGATTGGAAACCTGCTTATGTACTGTCATTTGATTTCTTTCCAACAGAGCATATTTTCCATTACCTCTGGAAAATGAAATGGGAAACATTTCTGTGTAATTTTAAGAAAGATTTGACTGGCATCATAGTCAATTGGCCTCTTTTAAAATTTTTCCTCCTGTTCATTTGTTCAGATATAATTAGAGATTCTTTGCAAAATTTCAATGTCAATCCTTATTAATCTCTAATTTCTAATCATAGGCATAAGGGGTTTAGAAGCTGCATTTCATGTTTTATGGCTTTGGAGAGAAAAAAAATAACATGCTTCTGGTTCAGTAAATTCCTGAATACATTCCTCTTCATGTTTCCCCCAGGAGACAGTGAGAATAAAATGGACTTTGTGGGAAGTGGAAGCTGAGTTCCAGCTCTTAAAACAATTATGGTTAGATTTATTGGTGGGCGTGATAGTTCTTGGTTGTACAACTCCAGTGAGAAAGAAGATAAATGAGGCGATAGCACCTGCAAGACATAGAGGCAAGATTAGCCAAGAATTAAGAGCCTCTTCTGAGAGTCACAGACAACTCTGAAAAGCCTGGCAAGAGCTAAGTATGTGAGGGGGCAGTGAAGACTACAGGATGGAAAGTAAAAACAAATTTGCTATTTTTAGGTTGCTACCTGATATGAAATCAGATACTGATAGTTAAGTTATAACAAAAAGGCCAATCAGGAATTTAGTGTACAAGTCTTAGCATTTGCTATTGGACAATTACACGTAATTCAGTATCCCAAGATGAGGAAAAAATTTTGGTAGTGATTCAACAGCAAGGTTTTATGCATAGACATTTATTGTGATCACTGGTTGCACTACTACAGTTTCAGTAGTTTTCTATGAACTTTCAGGAGACGTACCTTCTATATGAGAATGATCTATATATAAAGTACTTTGTAATCCTAATTTAAAAAACTATATAAAGAGCAGTTTTGAGGTAACAAGAAAATAGAAAAGTACAGAGTAATCCCATAGACCCATGTCCCTAATTATGCATAGTCTCCTCATTATCAATATCCCCAATCACAGTGGCAATTTTATTATAATTGAAGTTACATTGACACATTAGTATCACCCAAAGTTTGTAGTTTACATTAGGGTTCACTCTTGATACAGTCTATTTCATGGGTTTGGACAAATGTAATAATGACATGTATCCACCATAATTTTCATTGACCTAAAAATCCTGTGTACTTTGCCCTTTGACTTCTCCCTCTCCCCTAACCCCAGTCATTGATCTTCTTACTGTTTCCATAATTTTGACTTTTCAAGAATGTCAGTAGTTACAATCATGTAGTATGTAACCTTTTCAGATTAGCTTGCTTCACTTAGTAATGTGAATTTAAGTTTCCTCCATGTCTTTTCATGGGTCAATAGTTCATTTCTTTTTAGTGCTTAATGATACTTCATTATCTGGGTGTACTACTGTTTATTTATTCATTTGCATACTGAAGGACATCTTAGTTTCTTCCAAGTTTTAATAAACTATATATAAAGCTGGTCTTAACTCTGTGCAGGTTTTGTATGTAAATAAGTTTTCAACTCCTTGGGAAGTAAGATAACAGTATGGTAAGAGTATGTTTAGTTTTTTAAGAAACTTCCAAACTGTCTTCAAAAACGACTTTATTATAGTCTGCATTTCCATCAACAGCAAGTGAGAATTCTTGTTGTTCCATACCCTTACCAGGATTTAGTGTTGTCAGTGTTCTGGATTTTAGCCATTCTAGTAGTAACTAATTGTCCTTTTAATTTGCAATTCGCTGATGGCATATAATGTTGAATATCTTTTCATATGCTTAATTGCCATCTGTGTGTCTTCTTTGATGAGATTTTTTTTTAGGTCTTTCACCCTTTTTAAAATCAGATTGCCTGTTTTCTTACCAAGTTTTAATAGTTCTTTATGTATTTTAGATAATGGTTCTTTATCAGAGATGTCTTTTTAACTACTTTCTCCCAGTCTGTATCTAATCTTTTCATTCTCTTCAACATTGTCTTTTATAGAGAAGTTGGTCTTTTGTTGTTTCTTACGTTTTGTTTTTCTGGAGAGGAGGCCTATGAATATTTGCAACAAACTCTGGAGGGATTGTGACGCACAACCAGGTTTGAGAACCAAAAGCAGAGTTTCTAAGTTGACTGGGGTCCATCTGATTAACTCTCTCATGGATCATGCCTTTAGTGTTGTATATAAAAAATCATCATCATACCCAAAATAATTGAGGTTTTCTCCTTTGTTTTCCACTAGGAATTTTATAGCATCACATTTTACCTTTAGGTCTCTGATCCATTTTGAATTAATTTTTGTGACACATGTAGGGTTTCTGTCTAGATTACTTTTTTTTTTTTTTTGCATGTGAATATTCAGCTGTACCAGCACCATTTGTTGAAAAGGCAATCTTTGTTCTATTGTTTTACCTGTGTTCCCTTGTCTCAGATCAGTGGAGTTTGTCTGACCTACCCTCTACGGGAAGACAGAGCTCGTTTGGAAAAAAACCGGACCGCAGGTTGGAAGAAAGTCTTAAGTTCAGGATTTATTGAGAGGAAAGAGCCTCTGGGCGGGCCAGTCGGGAAGAACAGGAAAATGGCCGTGCGCGCTCAGAGGAGCAGGGTTCTTTTATAGGGGGCTGGAGGGCCGAGGGAGTGGGAAGGCTGGGAGAGCCGAGGTGGCGGGCAACGGTTGGTCAGTTTAAACTGCCGGGCGGGGAAGCCGGGCGGTGGGAAGCTGGGGAGAGCTGATGAGGCAGGTGGTGATTGGTCAGCCGGTTGCCGGACGGGAGGTGGCTGCAGCTGGGCGGGAAGGCCAGATCGGTATGCAGAGTGGAAGATAAGGGAGCCTCTTTGTGTGTGTGTGGGGGGGAAGTTTTCACAACAGGGACAGAGTTTTCCAAACAGATTTGATATGAAATATTGAAATATTTATATGTCTATTGGTCTATTTTTCTGTTCTTTTGCCAATACCACACTGTCTTGAATACTGCTGCTTTATAATATTTCTTGATATTGGGTGGTGACACTCTTCAGACTTTGTTGTCTTTCAGTATTGAATTGGCTGCTTTGGGTCTTTTGCCTCTGTAATAACCAAGTAAGTCAGAAGGAAAGCATCACACTCTGAGTTCCAAATTAAGATTCCTTTATTTGCCAGCAACCAAGAGACAGCTAACACTCTAAATTATCTTGGCTCTGAGTACAGGGCTTGATTCCCTTTTATACCTTGATTTAGGTAGGGGAGGGGGAGTCTAGCTGAAGCAGAATTTTACAGAAGCAGAACAGGCAAGTTAGATAAGGAAGCTGGTGACCAGGGGACAGGAGGTTCCCAGGATTCTTGGTTGCTAAGGGTATTTCCGTACAAACATCAAGGGGCATAGCAGGGGGAACTTTTTATACAATCAGTCACCAAGGAAGGTATTCACAATAGCAGGTAGACTTGCCAAGTAGGATGCGGTTACAGTGGTTACAGGTACTGTGAACAGTGTGAACCACTTTTTTTCTTATTTTTTTTTTATTACATTTTAGGTTTTGGGGTACATGTGAAGAACAGGCAAGATCGTTGCATAGGTACACACGTGGCAGTGTGATTTGCTGCCTTCCTCCCCATCACCTATCTCTGGCATTTCTCCCCATGCTATCTCTCCCCAACTCCCTACCCCCTGCTGTCTCTCCCCTATTTCCTTACAACAGACCCCAGTGTGTAGTGCTCCCCGCCTTGTATCCATGTGTTCTCGTTGTTCAACACCCACCTGAGTGAGAACATGGGGTGTTTTAGTTTCTGCTCTTGTGTCACTTTGCTGAGAATGATGGTTTTCAGGTTCATCCATGTCCCTACAAAGGACACGACCTCCTCATTTTTGATGGCTGCATCATATTCCATGGTGTATATGTGCCACATTTTCCCTGTCCAGTCTATCATTGATGGGCATTTGGGTTGGTTCCAGGTGTTTGCTATTGTAAACTGTGCTGCAATGAACATTGGTGTGCATGTGTCCTTATAGTAGAACGATTTATAATCCTTTGGATATATACCCAGTAATGGGATTGCTGTGAACCACTTTTAATGGTTCAAAACTTTGAGAGCAGCATGACCCAGTAATGCACCTGAGGGGCCATGGCAGGGAGGGAGAGGCTCAAGAGAGCTTGTCAGGTTTGCAGTTAAGATGGAGTCAGTTAGGCTAACCCAGGTTAGGTTGTTACACCTCTTCATATAAACTTTAGAATCTGTTTGTCAACATCCACCAAATAACTTGGTAAAATTTTGCTTGGAATGGGGTAGAACATTTTTAATTTATTTAGCTCTTGTTTGATATATTATATCAGAATGTTGCAGTTTTCCTCCTATAGATCTTGTACATACTTTGTTGAATATATAATAAAATATTTTAGTTTTTCATTGCTAATATAAAGTATAATGTATTTTAGTTTCATATTCCACTTGTTCATTGTTAGTATATACAAAATCCAAAACTAAAATTTTGAAATCTGTATTTTATAAGATAAAACATTTATTTAATGAATTGCCTATATTATATATGAAAATGAGCATATTTACATAAAGGTACATGACAAATTATGTTTAATATAATATTCAGATAAATTTAAGGCACTCTTTGTATGAAAAGTCATTGTCATATCTATTATTATCATTACAGGTCAAATATTAATAGTAAATGGTTATCTATAAATTGTATGTTAAATACTCCATTCTTATTTAATACTTCATTATTAGTATCATGAAACTTCTTTTAAGCTCTCAATTTGTACAGTCTGGAGTTTGAATGTGAGATTCACTATTTATTAACCATATGGCTTCTGATTATCAACTTTATCATCTGGAGTTAAAAATGGATTGTTGTCTGTGGGTGGGATGTAAAGATTAAATAAATTAATGTATGTTAAAATTTTACAAAGTTGCTCATAACATGTAACATAAAAGAGATCCAGAAAAGCTAGCTGCTTTACTACTACCTTTACCACCATCACTGTGACTACCAATACTGCTGGTTCTAATGCAACGATTATATAGCCAAGTGTAATTTTAAAAAGCTCTGGAGGTAGAATCAGGAAAACTGAAACTGCCCTAACTAGATGTATAACTTCAGGTAAGTCAAAGAATTCTTCGCCTCCAGGATTAACTGTATGACATAAAATTCATTTTTCAGCCCAACAAGTATATAGATATATATGAGAAAATATTATGCAATAATTAGAAAAAAGATATATTGACATAAGAAGAAAATTATAGTGTAAAGAGTATGTTTGTTGCTACAATTTGAATTTCCATTAGTTGTTTAGAATGCAAAGAAAAATAACTAATTAATGACCTAAGAGGTCAGTTATTAATGTACATAAAAGTTATAGAGAATATCTTAGAAACTTCCTTGAGTTGCCCTTCATTAATTATAAATTGTTTTCTGTGATTTATTGTTTTTTATTATGTAGGCTTTTAATTATCTGACCTACCTCTGTATTTAGGCTTGTCTAAACTTTTTTTTTTTTCCCCAAAATAAAGCATGGCAATGCGATCAGGTATCATTGGTTTCTGAAGATAGCATGGTGACAATTTTTAATTAAAACACTAAATATCTTAAATCTTCAACAACAGAAAAAGAGCTCAGTAAACTATAACATAATGACTTGACAAAACTCCATGTAAACATTTGGAGTTCTAATTACCAGCTAGGCAGAACTTCATGTAAGAATAATCACTTCTGACTTGTATGAGTTCATGTTAAGGGAAAACAAGGAGAATATAAAAGTTTGCAGGTTATACAAAATTGCAAACATAAATAGAAAGAAATATGCCCAGGAATATGGCAAATACTAATTGTATTTACAGTGGATTGTTGAATTTATAGTAAGTACTGTTTTTCATGACTAACAAATTTACTTAATTCAGTGTATTATTTTGCTAATGAAAAGTAAAATATTTTAAACTAGTTATCATGCTGTATATTGTCTCCAGTACTTTTTCATCATTATAACTAAACGTTTGTACACTTTCAGCAATACTTCCCCTTTCACTTTTAAGATTCTGCATGTGAGATCACACAATATCAGCTATTGTGTGTCTGGTTATTTCACTCAGTATAATGTCTTCAAGATTCATTCTTGTTGTAGAAAAGTCAGGATTTTCTTTTTTCTAGGAATCAATCATATTTCATTGAGTGTGTTTGTACGGATCTATGTAACATTTTTAAAATCTATTAATCTGTTGACAGAGACGTAGACCACCTCCATATCTTAGCTGTTGCATATAATGCTGCAATGAACACGAGAGTGCAAATATCTCATTAAGATGGTAATTTATTCCTTTGGATGTATATCCAGAAGTGAGTTTGCTGTGTCACGTGGTTATTTTTTAAATTTTGGGGAAACCTGCGTAGTGTTTTCCATATAGTTGTACAAATTATCATTCTTGCCAATAGTGTATGAACATTTCCTTTGTTTCACATTGTTGCCAATGTTATCATTTGTCTTTTGAAAAATAGCCATCTTTTTTTAACTTTTAATTTGTTTATTTTTTAATTGCCATGTATGTACCTAGGCAACAATTCTGCATGATCTGCACATGTACCCCAGAATCTAAAGTACAATGAAATATATATTTTTAAAAAAGAATAAATTAAAAGGAAAATAGCCATCTTAACATATGTAAAGACATAGCCCGTGATTTTGATTTGCATTTTCTGATGATTAGTGATGTTGGGCATATTTTTATATCCATGTTGTCCATTTGTAAATGTCTGTTCAGATACTTGTCCCATTTTTTAATTGGAATATATTTATTTGCTATTTAGTTGTATGAGCTTCTTATATATTTTGGATAGTAACCTCTATCTGATATATGGTTTACAAGTATTTTCTACTATTGTGTAGGTTGCTTTTTCCTTTGATTGATGTTTCCTTTGCTGGGTCTGAACATTTTAGTTTGATGTACTCCACTTGTTTATTTTTGCTTTCATTGCCTGTGTTTTGAAGGTCAAATTTATTAAAAAAAAAAAATGCAGAGACGAGTGTGTAGGACCTTTCCTCCTATATTTTCTTGTAGAGTTTAATAGCATCAGGTCTTATATAATTCTTCAACACCTTTTGAATTGATTTTTATAAATGATGTGAGAGAAGGATACATTGTCATTCTTCTGCATGTGGATATCCAGTTATCAAAAAACCATTAAATGACTAACCTTTTTCCCAGTTAGTGTCCCTGCTGTCAATGTCATAGATGAATTTATTTTAAAGAAGTGAGTTTAATTTATGGCCTCTCTCTTTTGTTTCATTGGTCTGTCTATTGATATTTATGCTAATGCCACATGCTTTTGATTACTATAACTTTGTTGTGTATTTTGAAATTAGGAAATATGAGGTTCCACCTCTGTTCTTCTTGCTTAAAATTGTTTTAGCTATTCAGGATTTGTTTTTTGTGATTCTATACATGTTTAGGATTGTTAGCTAATTAGAAATGTATATTTGAAATTTGCTAAAAAAGTAGATTTCATGTGTTCTCAACACACACACACACATAAACACACAAACACATGCACAATGACAACTTATGTGAGGTGATGGCTATGTTAATTAGCTTAATTGTGGTGATTATTTCACAGAGTATACATATATCAAAACATTACATTTTATACCCCAATTGTATACATTTTTGTTCATCATACCTCAAGAAAGCTAGGAAATATAAAAGAAAAATTAAGCTTCAGTAATGTTTAAAATAAAATTGATAGTGGCATATGTATAACATGTATAGATATCTATAGAGAAAATTTAAAATGTCTAATAGTTACACATTTAAAGAAAATTTGCAA